GTATCGTCCCGGCCATGACTTTTCACCCTATCGTCCACACGAGCCTAGCCGACCTGGGCCACCGGCCACGGGACCTGCTCACAACTATTTAGATCGCGACGGTCCACCGGGCTCGTCCTATAAGAAACCCAATAAATTTGTGCCCTATTTGATCGGGGCCGAGGAGAGCTACGGCGGTGGCTATGGCAACAAGCAGAGCTCCTATTTCGAGTCGCAGCGTCGCAAGGATCAGCACGACTTCAACTATTTCGATCTTGGCTCAACGCATCGCGAACCACCTAGGGAATCGAATGCGGTGCTACGCTATCCCGGCTCCAGCTACGATCATGATTATCCCCGAATACGCAACGATTACAGAAAACAATGGACTAGGCGACCTGGACCGGATGGTAAGTGAAATGGGAAGGGGATTGCTATAGCTCTACAATCCTTTTATCCTTTCAGAATGCTCTGCCAAGACCAGCGAGGGCTTCCGCTTGCACAAGACAGCCGTGAAGCACGCCTTCAACGTGCCCACGCTCACAGAATGCGAACGCTTGTGCTCGGATCAACGGCCCAGCTTCGTCTGCCACACGTTCAGCTATCGGTACAATCAGGCGGGCCGCGACAATTGCATGCTGTGCGACAGACCCGTCAATATGCTCGACTACTATGTGGACATAGAGCCGGATAGGGACTATGATATATACTCGATGGCCGACGATATGGATGTGTGCAGACAGCCACCGCCACACAGTCCGAGACGTAGCGACGGACCCAGCACGGCGCTCTCCGATCCCCGAAATGCACGTGAGTATGGGATGGCAGAAGATGAAGAGGCTGTTAGATTATCTTGATTAAGTCTAGAAGAGCAGAGAAGCGCTGGCTTAGCATTCAGGAGAGTTTGAAAGGAATAGAAGCGTAATCATCTCTTACTTAGGCTGGAGAAAAGCTTAAAAGCTCTTAGTCGTATAGCTCTTCATTGAGTAAGGAATCCCATAGTATTTTCTAGGCAAATCCTTTCTCTTGCTCTCTTATACTTTCTGTCCTCTGTTCCCACCAAATATTTCGGTTTATTGCCTGGGCTTACTATGCCTTTGCCTTGTGCTTTTTATCCCTTTTCTCCTCTTCAATCTATAGTATTTGCTAGGTTAAGTCTTTTTCTTGCTCTTCTCTCTTCAAAAAGAATTTTTCTTCTGGTTTATTGTCATCGAAATTCCTAGGCTACCTAGACTCTTTCTCTTACACCTTTCCTTTCTCTTGCTTTGCTTTACCCCTACAGAATGTTTCTCCTCATAGAAATTCCTAGGCTTCCTAGACCTATCTCTTAGTAATTCTAACTAATAACTTGCTTTCCTCTTCCCCCACAGAATGTTTCTTCCGCGCCATTGATGCCACGCGCTTCTTCAAGTCCATTGTCCGGGACTCGCTGACGGTGCGCACCGTGGGCGAATGTGAGATGGAGTGCATACGCTCTAGTAAGTTTACGTGTCGAGCCTTCGCCTTCCGCTATGGCCAGCAGCGCCACGCGGGCGTCATAGACAACTGCCAGCTGAGCGATTGGCCTGTGCGCGACATGGACAAGGAGCGACATCTGATACTGGATGCTGCTTTCGATATCTTTGAGCGGGCGAGCTACGGGCATGGCTGTGAAATACAGCCCATTGTGGATGAGAAACATAAGAAATGTGGGTGGACCAAGATTGCATAGAAACAGTTCCTAGAGCTAATATGATTTTCTCCATCTTTCCAGTGTGCTACTTGGGCTATGGCTCGCCGGCACGCCTACTACCTCCAGCTATTAAGAAGGTGATCACAGCACCCTCGGAGATGGCCTGTAAAAAGGAATGCATACGGCTGCGTGACACCACGCCATTCAAGTGCTATGCCTTTAGCTATGGGTAAGATCATTAGATCAAAGATCTCTATAGCTCTAACTAAACTTTTCTTGAATAGCTCGCAGTCCAGCTCCTTTAACTGCGAAATGTCTGATCTGGATCAAACGGAGCTCAAGCTCGATGTGCACTACAGGCACACCAAAGAGCGTGATTATTGGCTATTCGCTTGGAATCCATTCGATTGGACTTGCCGGGACAAGGTGAACACGATCGGTGGTTCACGTGTCAATAATGATCGACGCATGGATATATTCCGGGAACCGGGTAAACTGACAATTCTAACCTGTTGCACGTCCATCATTGTGTAAATAATCAGAGTTTGAACCAATTCCAAATTGTCTATAACCCCAGAGCTAGATTTTATATTTAGATATATATATACTTATATCTATAATTAGCTTGTAATTGGAAGAATGTCTATGTATATATATATGAATAATGTCGACTAGCATGTACAGTAGTATTACCCTAACCTGTAACCTATAACGTAACCCAGACGAATCCGGGTAGCAACACTATAACCCATCACCCAGACGAATCCAAGTATCAACTCCCTATATATACTAACTGAATGTTAATGCTTAACAATAGAGAATATTATTTAACTAACTTTACGATATATGAAAATCGAAAGGCGATGTCGCTTGGCGTCATTATACCGTAACTGGAAAGCCTTGCCGCAGGAGCAGTCCATGCGAGAAGAATCTTATAACGGGCTTCTACTCCTGTGAAACGGACGGCTCAGAGATTGGCGCCTGGGACTATTGCTGCAAAACGGATCATCCATGTGGCTATAGTCGCGGCTTCGACTATGCCTGGTAAGAGCGGACCTAAGCTCTACAATCAATAATATGATATCCTTATACCCGACCCTTTCCATTCCAGGTGCTTTGTGGGCGATGAGCCGGATCAGTGGCGCAAGTGTAGCGATCGCTATTATCCGGATGCTGGCAACAGCACCAAGCCCACTACACACTCCAGCCTGTCCAAGCAGAAGCCAAAGCCACACCAGCTGCAGGCAACCTCGGCTAGCAGTGAATACACACAGCATCCGCCACGGCCCGGCGGTCTGCAGAGTCTCAGCGATTTCGCAGCGGCCCGTTTATGGCCCGTTACTTATCTTTATAGCGAGGGGCCGCCCAATGCCACCGAATTTAGTAATTTCGTTGATTGCAACAAGGAGACGTGCTGAGTTTGGCACGCTACAGGCCTAATTAAGTAGTTCCCATAAGACACACCCTCGCCCTTGCGCCCGCCCTCGCCCCTCATCACTTAGTTCTAACAATGACGAAAATGATGTTCTCACCGTTTGTCAGCCGCAACACACACGTTCGCAAATGTGTCGCTGTGATTTTTCATTGAGATTGATTGCAAATTGCCGTCGTAATCACAACAGATAATAATAAAAAACCAATTAACTTATTAATTTCTTTAACTTTCGTGCCGACGATAAATCTTTGTACCTATGCATTTAAGTTTATATAATAAATAACTTAGTTAACTGAAGTGCGTGTTTGTGCGGGTTTTTATCTTAATATGTACATCAATTATGGCACTGCACTTTTATATATATTTAATTTATTATCTATCAGATCTGCTTAGCCGAAAAGCGCGCCAAATTTCCGATGATTATCTTTTGTCAAAATACGGTCACCCATTTCTTCATATTTCAAAAATTTGAATTTTGAAATTACATTAATTGGCTAAGGCATCAGATCGATAACTACTGCCAGTTAGAGCTGTCGATATATATTCTTTATGGTGAATTTTCACTTGTCCTTTCATATTTTAATTTGATAATTGATAAGTAAATCGTCAGATTATCAATATCTCATGTCAATTATATATGTCTATAATTTAATTTAATTATCAAACTGCGATCACTCTTCCATTTTTATTTGAATTTAGAATTCAATTGATTTATCCAAGTTACGCACCATATAATCGATAGCTCATGCCTGTTGCTTTTGGCTATCGTATTTTACATTTCTCGAGCTACGGTCATACTGCCTTTTGAAACAGCTGGCAATGTAAGAATTGTGCAATAGGCGCACGGCCTTTTTTGTAAATATTGTAAATTAAAGTGAATATAAAATGACAAGCATAAAGGTGAAAAATATACTAGCCATAGGCGCCACAGCCTTGGGGGCCTTTTATCTGGGTACTTACACAGAGCGTCGTCAGCACAACGCTGATGAATATTGTCAACGGACATTCGCACGATTACCTGGATTTCCAGTATTTTCCACTGTTTCCGCTGCTGAACTGATACCTGCCAGCGAAGTAAATCTAACTGCCCGGCCATCACGTATAGCAGAGATTATGAAATACGGATTTCCCGGCTTGGACAATGTACGCTCCCACTCCGACTACGTCCTCTCCTACGACAGACGCAATCGTGTGCCCCACTGGGTGTTCGAGCACCTGACAGCCGCATCGGTGGCCAAAAATGATGCAGTCGATCGAGCGAAATGTGACTTCCGACCAGACGAAAGCATACATCCGTACTTCCGCGCCCAGAACACTGATTACCGTCGTTCCGGCTACGATCGTGGTCACATGGCCGCCGCCGGCAATCATCGACTGCATCAGAAGCACTGCGAAGATACCTTCCTCCTCTCCAACATGGCGCCACAGGTGGGCCAAGGCTTCAATCGCGACTCCTGGAACTCCCTGGAGATGTACGTACGCAAGCTGACCCAAAATCATCCCAATGTCTATGTGTGTACGGGACCACTCTACCTGCCCCACAAGGAGGACGATGGCAAGTCATATGTCAAATACGAGGTAATTGGCGCCAACACTGTAGCCGTGCCCACTCACTTCTACAAGGTGATTGTGGCCGAGGCGGCCGACAAGAAGCTGCACATGGAGGCATATGTGATGCCCAACCAGGTGATCAGCAACGATACGCCACTGAAGGTGTTCCAGGTGCCGCCCGAAACGGTGGAGCGCGCTGCCGGCTTGCTCTTTTTCGATAAGATGAATCGCCAGCAACTGGCGACAATAAATGGCAAAAAAGTTTAGTTAAATATTTTTTTTTAGTGAATTGTATTTTTAGTTGTTGAATTTTTGTTTCTTTTCCAAAGAATTGTGTTCGATTAATAAACAGTAAACAATTAATACAGAGTTATACAAATATTTATATATATATAAATCATATATGTATTATGAAGCAGAGCATAGCGAAGTGGTGCATGCGCGAGTGTGTGTGTGTGAGAACTAAATGGGTGTGTGTGGGTGTAGACGATTTGTTCCACATTACATGCCGCTGCTGTTGGAGCGCACGTCATCGATCTTGAGTATCATCTTGACCAGCTGTGTGGAGAGCAGAATCTGTTGCTTCTTCGAGTGCAACGATTCGACCACATTGTGATTCTTCATATCCGAATCGCCAGTCAGCATGCAGTCGACACCCAAGCTGGGCCTGTTCTCGGCCACCTGGCTGGCCTTCAGCTCCGAGAGTGTCTCGACCGGGTGCAGTCCACTATTCTCGGCCAGAGCCAAGGGTATGCTTTCCAGGGCAACGGAAAAGGCACGGAATGCATATTGCTCCAATGTGGACAACTGATCAGCTTCCTTGGCCACGGCCAGGGAGCAGCTAATCTCAGCAGCGCCACCACCATAAACAATACGCGAATCCTTGACGAGCGAACGAACCACACAAATGGCATCATGTATGGAGCGCTTGGCCTCAGCAATGATCATGGCGTTGCCTCCGCGCAAGAAAATTGTGACAGCCTTGGAGTTCTTGCACTCCTCAATGACCAGCATCTTGTCCTTGGAGGTACCAAAGGCTGCAAGCAAATGCAAAGAGATTAGCGCAAGCTTTGGAGAGTAATTCAGTTCAAAACTTACCCATCTCACGCACCAGTCCAGCGGAGCCGAGTTTCTCGGGTGTCAGCTCCTCGAAGCGTGGCACAATGCGTCCGCCGGTTGCAATAGCAATCAGCTCAATCTCTGGACCACCTACCCAGCGTACGGCGGGTAGTTCCTGCTGCAACAGCAAGTGATTGGCCTCATCATCGAAGCCCCACTGACAAATGGCCAAAGTGGCGCCGGCATCCTTGACCTGCTTGACCATCTGCTTAAATTTCTCCTGCTCGTAGTCGCGCAGTGCTCGGTAATCCTCCGCAGAGGTAACATCCAACTTATGCTTTGTCTTTGGCTTCGGTGGCTCGAAGGGGCAGGTGAGTATGGCCAGCTTGACATTTTTCAGCTCCTTGGGCATTTGCGAATGGCTCAAGGTCTTGTCCACAATGACGCCCTTGACCAGCATAGAGTCCTCCATGCGTCCGCCCACCTTAGTCTCAATTTTGATAAGCTCAAAGTTCACATCCTTCTTCTCAATATCGGCCACATTGAGCACAGCATCGACAGCCATTTCAGCCATCTGACGATGACATTTATTCACAATCTTGCTGCCCAGCGTGGTCATTGCGATCTGAATGAGTGGCTCCTTGTTATTGGGATCCACAGGGAAAGGTTCAGCAATTGCATCCAGCTGCTTAATGGCACACTGAGCGGCCAGCTCAAAGCCATCGGCAATACGAATTGGATGAATGCCGCGATCGATCAAGCCCTCGGCCTGCTCCAGCAGAGCGCCAGCCAGAACAACCACACCAGTGGTGCCATCGCCAATTTCATCGTCCTGCGACTGCGACAGTTGCACCATCAATTTGGCAATCTCATGATCCACCTCCATTAGCTTCATAATGGTGGCACCATCATTGGTCACAGTAACATCGCCATCGGAGCTGACCATAATCTTGTCCAGACCTTTGGGACCCAGCGATGTCTTCAGCGTCGAGGCAATCTGCCTTGCTGCCATAATGTGCGTCTGCAAGACAAGAAGAACATGTTAGAATTTGCATGGTAATTAATGCGCGTGACTCAGCCGGCTGATAGGCAACATCTGTGCATCAGGTCTAACCTCAAAGTGCATAAGTGACGTCACAAATCATACGGTAAATACTAGCATTTTTCTTATTTGACAGTGCTACAAAGTACAAACTAAGTGCAATACTTAATTTTGTAACAAACAAATATAATATTAATATTCATTTATTAAGTTTTGGTTTTATATGCGGCAAATGCCGGTTGCAAAGAACATCTGGAATATTCGACATAGGATGCGTCATTCTATGCACAATTTAGCAACTTGTTTGTCTTCAAAATACGAATGTCCTTTCGAAATACATATTGTCAATAAAAATTACTTTAAATCCTTTGCTTTATCCTATAAATTGCAATAGGTTTAATTTACCTTAATGGCATCTGTGCCTGTGATGCGCTTTTGCTGCTCCTGGTCGCGCAAAATGATGAAAGGGCGACCATATTCGTCAAACGCGAACGTTCCTGGGAAGGCGCTCATGATTTTTTATTTAAAAGGAACGCGGATTTAGGCTTATTTTACAGATTAAATTTGCTTTTCCCCCGAATCGAAACGCACAAAATTGACGGGCAATGCTGCACTAAGGTTCACAATCGTTATCGACTATGAGAATAGCTTGCTATCGATACGAAAAAGAAATATTTTCGCACTGCGCAAATTATAAATTGCTTTTTAGTGCTTATTATCTAAACAAAAGAAAAATATTCAAATGCTGTGTTTTTTGCCTGTCATAATAAATGTACAAGTAAACTACTTTGACTTAATAACCAAGCTTCTCAAACAAAATTTTAATCTTTTAAGCTTCAGTGACATTCGATAATATATTCATTGTAGGGGAAACATCACTTCATCGATTGTAGCTTTCGTGACTAGCTATCGTCCCTGATAATCATCGCTTCAGTGGTAGGTTTCATATATTGGTTAGGAAATTTTTCATTTCATATATAATTCAGCAGTCGAACTAATAAGATCGCAAGTGCAGATTTTACGAACGCTACTCTCTAACCCAGAGCAAATCTATTAATTCACAAATTTTTGTTTCTTTGTGCGTTAAGTTGCAACCATTAAGTTTAAAAATGCCATCAAACATGAATAATAAACTGTAAGTTATGGTGTGAAGCCATTTAATGAAATATAGTGATAAAAAAAATCGATTTTGTAGTGAATAATAAAAAAAGAAAATGAAAATAAAAATAAAGAAAATGGAAAATAGTGCACGGATACCGTAAGCAATCGGATCCAATCCAATTGGTGGCATAAGTTATGTAGTTTGTTGGTTGCCAATAAATGCATATAAAGTTTCCTATGTAGTGCTGTAGTTTAGTGTACATAGCTAAAAAATAAAATAAAATAAATTAAATTCGGTATGGTGATGGTGGTGGTATAACAGTAATATTTTAGCACATACGAGCTGTATGCAAACACACATACACGCAGGCAAAAGTACCCAGAGGTGTACTAATATGCGCATGTATCTGTGTGTGGGTGCGTGCGAGAGTCCACATAACCAAACAAAGACATGAGATAAGTGAAGAAAACGGCTGGTAAAGTAAATAATTGATTTCAAAAAATATAATCTGAGATGTTGGTATTTTTGAAATGTGATTTTTTACTTTATTTTTTGCGTATTTTATTATGTTTTCTTTCTCTTTTCGTAGCAGCCATCTTGTACGCCTCACATACATACATATGTATGTGGCTCTCACCCAAAGGCACAACTGAAATGGAGACGAATAATAATAGTGAGAGCGAGAAGGAACACTGATAAATATTTATTAGCTGTTCATGCGCGAATCAATTAAAGCTTGATTGCTAAAAATTGCGTGCAAAATAACAACAACTTAGGGGACATCGATTTGTTTTGTTGACATGTTCGACCAGACAAATCTGGCAACGCTCGTTGCATTCAGCACAAACGCAATTTTATTTAACAATGCTACCTTTATTATACTTACAGCATATGTATGTATGCACATGAGAAATTTTTTTGTATATGTGTTTTTATGTAGAGTCGTTTAAATGTCATTCGCTTTTAGTTCTTGATTCTCGTTAACTTTTGAACAAGTACCGTAATTTATTCATCGAACTGCTTGCACTTGTCAGGCAATGCAACTGTGCTTCGTTGAGGCGGCGTCTGGATCTTTCTAGGCGTCTGCTTGCAAACAAACGGAGCTTTGTGCTAGCAATTGCAGTTATAATGCGGTAAATATTTTTGTGTGTGCGTATATGTTCCTTATCATAATGTCTATATCCGACGAGTGGCCTCATCATCAGCTTTATTTGCACTTGGTCTTTGCTTATCTCGTTGCCAAAACAAACATAATAATAATTAAAAAAAAAAAAACTCGACCCTTATGACTTTGTGTAGTTGCAAGAAGCTAAGCAATTCTAATAAGAGCAGAAAGACCGGTTTGTTTGTTACTGCGTCATTTATATTTACTGCTGCGTTTGTCATCCGGTTAGAAGCATCAACCACAAAGTGCAACTTTGTCTAAAAATCAAAAAAGTATTTGGTCCACTGTGCGCATACATTACATCACAAACAAAACAAGACACAAACATGCACACACACGCACATACAAATTAGAGTGAAGGGGCAATTCATGTATACATATTTACAAACAATGGAAATTTCCACTCACCATGCAACTCAGCTGTGTGGCAAGTGAGCTTCGTACATAAATGTATAAATGTGTGTGAGTGAGAGAGAGTGTGTTTTCGTTGGCTTGCTTGTATGTGTTATGTGTGAGACGAGCGTTGCCAGCACAGCTCAATATTGGGTCAATTGACTAATGAAGCAGAGAGAGAAGCTTTCGATAGAATAATAGAATAGAAAAAAGAGAAAAATAAAACCACCTCAGCAACTGCTGACTCATAAGGTCACAAAATTAATGGAGGCTGCACTTTTTGCCACTACACATTTACGTTTATAATATCTTATCAGCATGATAAACATCATAAAACTGTCAACTTTCTTATCGCTGCTTTTCTTATTGCTATAATAATGAAAATGAAAAATAAAATAAAAATTGTATGCTCATGCATTAAATCTCCCAAGTTGTGTGTGTTTGCATCGCTTATTGCGCCACATATTTGCTTAAAGTCACAATTTTCTATCTAACGTCTATTCATATTTACGGACAGCTTAATGCAGCAGTTTGCATCCATTTGACGTGTTTACTCAAGCCACTCATTTACGTACATATTTCGTTTATACGGCAATAGATTTCATTATCTGTCCTCAACTGTTATCTAGATTACAGACTGAAAGAAGTTTGTTTTTGGTTTTACCGGTACTAAAACAAAAGCAAAAAGTACTCAACAAATAAACTAACCTATTTTTCATTTGTCACGTGTTACCACTCATTTTCTAAATGATTTTGTGATCATGATGCTTAACGTGAAATATGAAAAACAAAAAGTCAATACGTGGTGTAAAATGTGAGCTGATCCACATACTTGCATAAATATACATTTATAATAACAATACTTCCATAGAAATAGTCGGGCGTGTTTCTTGAAACATGAATTTACGTATAAATGTGCAAAAGCTTTTGTTTGCACACTTGCTTACGTGCATACATATATACATAAATATATAAATATACATGTGTACATATATGTAAATATATGAATGTATATGTGGTGACGGCCTTTGTAGACAGCGCGTCACGCAGCCAGACATCGATTAGCTGTATGTTTATCGTTATCGCTTTTTGTTTTCTTTTCTTCGGCTATTTACAGCTACTTAAAATTTGCTAATTTGCAATTAATATATATTTTGTATCTTTAAATTGGCGCACGTGTTGATCACAATTGTTATTCATAAGTTTTGAACACAACAAAAACCCATCTACATGTGTATGTATTTATATATAGTTTTATGTGAAGATCGCATTTTTCGGCCCACTTAATTTGTCTGGTAAACAAAATTCTAATAAAAGAAAAGAAAAAAGGCCGCAAAAAGTATATTCGTTGGTGTGTTTGCATAGACATAGACCGTCGAAACAGGCATAATGTAATTAGTATTTTTTGATTTCAACTGTTTGTTTCTGTTCATTTGTCATATTTTATTTTACCACAACAGGGGAATTAGACGTGGACCAATAGATTTTTAACCTTCAGAACGAGATTTCTATAAACAGGTCCAAAGCTAGTTTTGTTTCTGCAATAGCTAAACTGTACCACTGTATTTTTGTGCCTATATAACCTAAGTAAGCAACATACACCCACACACACTTAGGCATTAAAATGCAGTTGTATGTTTGAGTGTATCTGTGTCGGGAAGCTACTAAATCTTTTCATTTTTTTTTAAATAAATGATGCCCCAGCCAGTGCGATGCCTTCAGTTGGCGGACACACGTTTAACGGTGCGGTACAGCAGCTAACAGCTAAACAAACGCAAATACAAGCACAAATCTTTATCGTTGTAAACAAAACAAACACAAAGAGAGCGAGAGAGAGGCATATACCTTTCAGAAGCATTTTCGATGTAAACTTCTAGACCTTTGCTTAAAAACAAACAGAACTGTGATAACGGAGTCAAACCAAGAAACAAAAAATAGAACGTAACTGTGATAAATATAAATACATTTCTATACACATACATATATACAGTTATAATAGAGCTTAGTGATGGCACTCGTTAACATGCAACAGAAGCTGCAACAACAACACCAGTCAGACTCTCCTATATCTGAGGATCAAATCGGGTAGGTGGTTTTTATATATGTATGTGTATCCTGCTTAATTGAAAGCGATTTAATTGCACTTGCATGTCTGCACGTGCCATCGATTGCACATTGTCAGGAGGAAGGGGGAGGTAAACTGGTGGGAGGCACTGTTCAATTGTGCTCATTAAGTTAACATGCCGGATGGCCCCCTGTCCGGCTCTCCTGCCCTACACAGAACTATAGAAAAAAGCTCTCAATTCGCAGCGCTTTGCCAAGTGCGCAGTTTGTTATTTAATTGGCAGCAATATATGCATAGAAATGTTCGTCTATACATATGCATATATTTTGTGCCAGTGTCAACCCGGCACGCGGACTCAGTATATTCCAATTGTGTCTACTCTGTATGAACAGTAACTAAAGAGTATATTCAAATTAGGGCATTTTCTTGATGCTCTTATGAGCAGTCTACTGTATTTATTATAGTTTGTGTTGTCTATATGTTGATTAACAATTGAAATCGTAGCGAAAATGCGAATAAGTGAATAAAGAGAGCTGTCCGTCGACAGTCCAGTAAAGATTGTAAAACTGTCATGGAATTGCTCTCTTTGTATGATATTCGACGTTGCCCAAACTAACCCCGATTAACCGATATAACTGTCTGTCTGCCTATGTCCTTTGTCCCTCAGTTCTGCGAATAGCGAAATGAAGAGAGCTATCCGTCGACAGTCAAGTTATATACATATTTTAATACTGTCATGGAATTGCTCTCTTTGTATAATATTCGAAAATCGACGATATATATGTATAAACTATATATATATTATCTATATGTTCTTGTTTATTTGTCCTTTTAATTGGTGTTGGGTTTTTTCCACTTCCCCAGGCCAAATAAAAAACAAAAGGTTTCACATTTTGAAATTCAAGTTTTTTATCGTCTTATTTGTTCTCTTTCACTTTATAATAAGGTTTTCAACATGTTATGTATTTTTGTTTATGCGTCCCGCCCGCTAAGATTAAATGCCCTTAAATTATATTAGTAGAATGTGCACCCGTTCGCTTCCTTCGTTTACAAGCCGCCGCGTCCACGTCCGCCTGTTGGGCCGCCTTGCCATGCGCCGCGTCCGCCACCACCGGGTGCACCAGGTGGGCCGCCACCACCACGTCCTCCTCCCGGCGGACCCGTTCCTCTGCCCCTACCTCGCGCTGTTAAACGACAGAAAAATGATCACATTAGCACATGATGCGGCAAATAAGTATATTGCATATGCCTGACTCACCCTGTGCTCGCAATATTGCTGCTTTGCCGCGGCCCGCTGTGCCACCTAGACCTTTGCCGGTCTGCTTTTTAAACATCGGTGCATTCTTCAACATGTCGGGCAGTATGAGAAAACGTATCTTCGAGCCGCGTATATACACATTCTCTAGATTGGCCGTGCGTCCATCTCGATATGTAACCGTAATTTGTGTCATTTGGCAATTCATGTTGTCCTCTGCCTCGATTAGCTTGCCGCGGTAGACTTCACCGGTGATAGTCTCGCAAGTGATTATATGGCCCTCAGCCTCGTGCAGAACTTTGATTGGTACACCGATCGACATTTTTCAAGCGTATTTATTCAATTATTTGTTTATAATTCAATAATTTTACGCGTATTTTTCAGATGCAAATTTTCGGTGTTTTTTCTTTGCGCAAACGTTTACGAGTGAATGTGTGCGAGTGTATGTGCTACAGCTGCCAAAGCCGCCATGCTGTGGTGAAAAAGTCTGCGTGCGCGCAGGGTTGTATAACTGCGGCATGCTGGCGCAATATTTATAGTTATCGGACTGGCATGTCGTGTTATCGCCGCTCTTAGATTTTCATCGCAGATAACGCCCGTTCTTATCTATAAAAACAGTCTGAACAAGTCTGCGTCATAAAAAATGTGTTTAATTTGATGTGACTTTACCGATAAAGTTCATGTTTCTAAACGCTCGTATGTTAGTTTTACTTGGGCTATTGCGCCGTAAAGCTGTTTTGTGCCTTGCCACTACTTTTCCATATAAAAATGAATTGGTAAATTTGATCTAGGATTAAACTACAAAATCGATTGATCATTCAATAGAATTTTTAAAATTTATATTAACTTGTGAACGCTTGTGTGTTCTTTTTGGTTTCTTTGCTTCTATTTTTATATCTTCCACAGCGACCCAATGTTTAGTAGTACCTTTGTTAGAAGAGATTTTAATGATAGCGGAGTTGCTGGATGTTCCGATGGCAAACTCCGTACGATTTCGACTTCGTCTTGCGCCACGAACATGTCGACTGAGTCCTACCGCATCTCTCTCGGCGTAGGGCCTCTGTGGTGGTCCTGATGTCCCTGTCCACCACAGAACAGATCACGATAGGGCATCGCTCTTAACGGGTAAGTATAATCGAATTCTTTTCATAATGAATTTAATTAATTAAAATGTATTTGACAGGCTACAGCCGTAAGTCTTCGGTCGACTCGGCTGGCGGCAGCTTGTTTGAGGCCAGCTCTCGGGCATCCTCACCGTCTTCGTCCTCGGTTTGTTCCGATGCGGAGTCGCAGGACATACATTCGATATGTTCAGAGGATGATTCCCAGGAGGTCTTGCGTCAGATCTTGCAGCATGATCAACCCGTGCAAATCTCCATCAAATTGCACGTTACCGAGGATATATCAACCAACTGGATGTCGATCTTGAATCCGACGAATAACATTCTATATGTCGCCTTTCCCACTGACTTACCACCAGGTGGCTCCAAGCAGACATTCATATCGCTGCTAGAGTTCGCCGAGGATAAGTTGGAGGTCGACGGCATTGTGTTGGTTATGCGCAAGGATCAACCGGAATGTGCACGTTTAATCGAGGCATTCCTGTTCATGGGCTTCGAACCGCTGTCGAGAAAATCACCGAAGGCACCACCAGCAGCTGTCAACGATAATGACCACTACTATTTCCTTTACACAATCGAGGAGTAGGAGAATGGACATCAAAACGTTGGCAAAGCAATTTAAAAAATCAAAACGATTTACAACACAAACTAAATATAATCTAGCCTCACAAAATAACAAAAAACAGACAACAAATTTAATCACAATTTAACTACAGTTTCAATGCTCTAAGAGAGTGTTTTTGTCCTATGAACCGTTTAGTAGTGCTTCACCCTCACCTATTGACCCCGAAAGTGTTCAAATGAAAACTTTTTGAAATCGTTTTGAAATATTTTTTAAATTTTCTTTGTCAATGTTAAATATTTTCCCGTATATTTTATTATGTAGCGACATTGCGTTGGCCACGTTAAGAGCAAGCTTCAACTTGTCGTAAATTATTCTACAACATATATAATCACAAAAAAATATATTGAAAACGTAAAAAAAAACACTAAAACTACGAAAAAAACTTAAAAAATAAGAAATGAAATTTGTATTAATCTTAAGTTTATTCCCGAATTATTATTTTTTTTCTTTTTCTTGTATTAATCACATTTTGTTGTTCAAAATTAATTCTGTTTCACACTTTTTTTTATATTTACAAATATTCTTTTTTTTGGTAAATTTCCCACATATATGTATTCCTTATAAGCAAGCATATTTTATATATTATATTCAACATTTTTATTATTATTATTTTCGTATAATTATGAAAGAAGCATTCGAAAGCAAAGTAAAATATATTTATATAATTTAAAAACAAATACATGAAACATATAACCTATACAGAAATATACAAATATATCTACATATATATTCAAACTTTAAATAAAACCTTTTAAACAATAGATTAAATACATAAAAACAAGAGCAAGAATATTAGTATTTATGTTTTTTAATTTCATTTAATGTCATATTTTCTTCATTCATTTATCAATTATATGCAATAAAAATTCATGATAAAATTAATTTCATATATGCATATGTGTTTAATGAAGGACAGATAAGTATGCCGATATATTGACGTGGATTATATTTATATATATATAAATACCTCTATATATAGAGTGAGATAACCGAAGCAGCTGGCTTATATTATAGGTTTTACCTGGACTTCTCGATTATTTCCACTTTATCAATATTATCTAACTTTGTCTATAATTCATGCGTCACATCCAGCCGAAATGGACTACCTAGAAGTCGAGTTTATAGCTTGAACTCATCTATAACTGACGATCTACTTGCTTTCAAATTCATAAACTGTAGCATATGCTACATTTCGCTCTTTATAGCCGATAAAATGGCACAAACGAACTCATTTCGAAAAATATAAGTATGTATGTATATGTATCATATAGGGGCTGGAGAGTTGCTTCGCTGGTCATATAAGAGATAACGTTATAAACGGCAGCGGAAGAATTTCCGAAAGCAGTCGACACTCGAACGTCTGCCTGTGCACACATCAAACGTGAATTGTGTTGAGAGCTGGAATAATATTGGAGATATCATGCTGAAGTCGGTAAGTTACATAGAGAAAGAGTCAGTGAGAGAGAGCGATGGAAAGGGGCCGATATTGTTATCTTATCCGCTGCGATACCAGCTACCCCAATCCCGAACCGGATGAAATAGTCTATGAACGGAATTCTTTCGATTGTTTTTTTTTGTGGAGTTACAATAAATGAGGTCGATATATATTATATAAAATATTTAATATATATACATATATATATAAATATTTTATATTTGTCTTTTAGTTATAATTTTTTTTTATTATATAGCTTCTGGTCAAGCTATACTTAAATTGTGTTTAGCTCTTATTAAGTTAATCAGTTGAACTATCTACGATGGGCAAAGTTCAGCTTTTTGTTGATATACTTTTAAACAATAACAGCCAAAAATACAAATAAGTATAAAAGTGTCTGTGCAGGTATTTCAAAAATATCCTCTCCGTACTACTATTGATTTATTCTAACTTCAAATATATTACTAACAAATTACATAGAAATGCTTTAATATTTTTTACAACAAAAATTATTTTTACATTTTTAAAATAGATATATGCACAAATAAAAAATTAGAATTTTTTAGTTTATTTATTTATACCTTAAATGTTGTACCCAAATAGAAAATTTTGTTTATTCTTATGTTTAGTTTTAATGAAAATATTATTTATGTATATATATAATTTTATAGTGTTTATATTTTTTTCTAAAATATTAACTGCATAAATATTCCATTTTTAGTATAGATTTTAATTAAATCATTTAATTCTAATACATTTTTTAAATATTCATATTTTTAATTTATATATGTATTTCTAATATTAATTCTTTGCATGCAATTTGAATCTGTAGCTTTTTATCATTGCCACAATGTTGTTGGCCCTTGGGCTGGCCATTCAGCCAGTCGAGGACCACGAAAAGACACAGAAGCATCTGGCTGCGGCACCACAGCACGCTGCTCATCTGCCCGAGCACCACCAGAAGCATCATGCGGTGGCTCCAACAGCTGATCATCACAAGTCCGCACGGCATCACAAGCATCATCCACACATTGAGCCCAAAGACAAGGAGAATGTGAATCATGGTCGTGTGCCAATCGCTCCACATCATTCCAAGGCGAGCCGTCATGGCAGACGCCACAGGCTGCCCAAGAGCGACAAAGCCTCCAAGAACAATCATTCACAGCATTCGCATCATAAGTCCGCGCACCACAAGAAGCCAACGCACAAGGGACATGCGCGCAAGCATCATTAGAAGCTTCATATGTATAAATGCGAGGGCTGTATTAAAAAGTTGCCGAACGACATCCCCTGTCGTCCGTTGAAGCTGAGAAAAGGCTAAAGAAAACATTAAAAAAAGGTTTATTTCAAAATTTATCTGCAACTCCACAACTTTTCATGCCCCCCTCGCATTACATATATATAAACTACTACTATATATAAACATGGCTTTAAACAAATTTTAACCTAACATTTTGTTTAGTTTAATGCACAAAAATGTTTCGTTGCCACATTAACAAAAAAAAACTGAACAATTAAAACCAAAAAAAAAACCCAAAATATTTTCTACTTTTTTTTAAATTTTATTTAAATTTACAAAGCTGTAATTGTTTTCTTTTTTGAACCTTTTGAACTGCACTCATTATGCTGAAAGCTTGTGTGTGTCGTAAATCTGCTCAAGAGGGCTTCAGAGTTCAACTTTAGATATGTATGTATATAGATTTACATACATATACATATCTATATAGAGTGTGTATATAATGCTTGGCTAACACTTTCTGTTATGTAGAAGGCGTCGCGACGCTTCGTCTACAACTTTTTTTTATTATCATCTTCTTCGGAAGCGCTTTAAAGACTCTCTTGCAAACCAGTTTTCCAACTACGTTAATCAGTGCAAAAAAAAAATAAAAATAAAAAAATAAAAAAAAAAACGAAAGAAAAAACAAGAAAAACTTTTTTTTATCAAGTAATAAATGTTAACTTATTTTTTGCTGTTGTTGGCGTTAATTGTTGTATGGGGTCAAAAGCATTTATGACGTCATCTTGTGTCAAAAACAAAAGAAACTCTGACTGAACTTGTTTTCTATACTCGCTCATCGTAAGTCGAAGAGTATATTGGCTTTACTATGAATCATTCAGCATTAGATTTGGAATATATATTATATATAGCTAAATGAATTTGATTAGATTAAGAGTAAAGTCTCTTGCATAATCAGATTAGGACAGATATGCCCCTCTTGAGATTAAAATCTCTTGTGGAAGTGGCAAGTCGGAAGGTAAATAAACTCAGCATGAACACGTATTAAACAATCGGTTAGAGCCGACTGCAATGCTCGTAATTATTTTGTTTTTTTTTGGTTGACACAGTGGTCGAGTGAAAGGCGCAGCAAGTATTTTGATAATGTATATTTTATTATAAAGAAAGACGATGTTATGTAGGTAGCAAAAATGTCTAAAATTCAAGTGAAACTTAAGCAAAAATTATAATGTTAGAAGGCATATGTAATTAAATATACATACATATGTACATACATTTCAATGTAAAAATTATTAGAAAATCTTTTTATCTTTATATTTTGGTCACTTTTAATCCGTATTAATTTTAATAAAATAAAAAACAAATTAAAAACAAAATATACAAAAAAATCCCATAGAGATTAAATTCTCATCCAAATAGCTTAGCACCGTGAATAAATAATTTTAATTTATTTTTATTTATATTTTTATTTTATATTTTGTATAGAAAACCATGCTTAATTTTCCAGTTAAATAAATATTTATTAGATTGTTAGTATTTGAATATTAAGTGCTATAAATCTATGTATATTATATAATATAAGAATACAAGTGTCATACACAAATATATACAATTTAAATGGCTAAGGTCCGTTATATTCTGTCTTGATCTCAGCCCCAAACTGGATAAATGGGTCGGCGATAGTAGCTTCCATAGCCTCTGTAACCGCCATAACCATAGCCGCTATATCCGCCGTATTTGTAGCCGCCATAGCCGCCGTAATATGGACGATAGTAAGAGGGTGCATAATAGCCGACGCCAATGCTATCCGCCGTAGAAAGGTCATCGACCTCGGCCGAGGCATCAGCAATTGCTACACTCTATAAAAAAATTAAATAAAAATAAAATATATAAAATTAAAAATATAATAAATATAAATAAAAAAATTGGTTAAAATTAAATTAAAAAAAAATAATTAATTACTTAAAACTAAAAACAATTAAATAATAAAAATAAAACTGATTTGAAAATGAAATAATCAATTAAATATTTAAGAGTAATACAAGATATTAATTTGAAAAGATTTAATTACCTCTGAAGGAGCCGCTTGTGCACACATGATTAGAACAGTCAAAAATAGAAATCCAATCAAAAACTAGAAATAGAGCATAGTTAAGTAAATGAATATGCTAGTTATATATCTATATAGAACTCTTACCTTTGCCATTGTTAATATTTACTCGTAGTATTTGTGAAATCTAGCAATAGAAATTTGTTGTTTTTCTTAGCAAATTATCGCCTTTCGCTCAAATGTGGGTTCTGTTTGGTAGCGCTGTTGTTATTGAACTGTGCTGTCCGACAACCTGGAGCAGATCTTTTATATAGTGCGCAAAAAAATAAATAGCCGGAGATTGATTTTTCATATGATGCTCATTGATTGGTCAAACATAAGTCTGGAGAAGTCGTCAATTGCGTGTGAATTGTTTGTTTTATAATGCTTTTATTCATATGCGCCAGGGTCATATATTACACAAAAATTGTTTTGTTTCTGAGTTCATACAATAATTAAAACTAATCACTAAATTAAGAGAACGTGTTTTCCGCTTCACGTCGAAAAATTCCAGTATCTCGTCAGTAAGTAAATATACTGACGCACTACACATCAAAAAGGCTCTAATAAGCAATACAAATAAACTTACTGCTTATTCATTATTACAATTAGAACATGGTTGGGGGATTTCTTTAGTTTATTATTGTTTGTTTTGAAATCGATTCCAAGTTCATATTTGACTAACGTCTAAATATCGATTTGTTTTAGTTGGGCCCGGTCAACCTATCGCCTATCGATGTTGACTTGCAAAAAATATCGGGTCATCTCTGAAAAATGTCTGCCGCATCGTAAACGTTTTGCAAGAAAAACCGGAAAATTGTTAAAAATCCCATTAAAAGTCCTTGAAATTGTTGAAATAGGTAAATATTTAATGTATAAATGTTTTCTATTTAGTTTAAATGCGGAATTTTATGAGCGGCGCACATTCTTTGCGTTAAAATTGCTGTGGTGAAAATAGCAAAACGCGGCGACGTCTGCTGCTGCCCTCTGCTTCTTTTTCTTTTTCCGCGTAAACGAAACGTGTGTATAGTTTTTTTTTTTTTCGTTTTAATTAATATGTATATACAATTTTATTTACCGTTTTGAAGTTGACTGAGCGATGTCTATACCGCCGTATATGATACCGCCAAATGCCTGGGCCGCCCAACTGATGGCCCAGCAGCAGGCATATGCGGCGGCCCATGCACAGCAGGCACAGCTGCATGCCCAGCATCAGATGGCCAACCAGATACAGCAAATACCCCCACCGGGGGCTCCATTGCCCCCTGCGGGTCATGCCAATGGCATTCCAGTACCGGCACAGGGAGTGCCTCAGCCCCAGCTAGGTCAGATACCTACTCCAAAGCCGGATATTCTAACAGAAGAAAAACTGCAGGAGAAGGCGCTCAAGTGGCAGCATTTGCAGTCTAAGCGATTTGCTGAAAAACGCAAATTCGGCTTTGTTGATACACAGAAAGAGGATATGCCGCCGGAACATATACGGAAGATCATACGTGATCACGGTGATATGACCTCTCGCAAATATCGCCACGATAAGCGTGTCTATCTGGGCGCACTCAAATATATGCCACATGCAGTGCTGAAGCTGCTCGAGAATATGCCTATGCCCTGGGAGCAAATAAGAGATGTGCAGGTGCTGTACCACATAACAGGCGCCATTACCTTTGTCAATGAGATTCCCTGGGTAATTGAGCCCGTCTACATAGCACAGTGGGGGTAAGTTTCACTAATGTAACTTCTATCTAAATTAAGCTTATCAGTGGGTCACATTTCATAGCACAATGTGGATTATGATGCGTCGCGAAAAGCGCGATCGTCGTCATTTTAAGCGCATGCGTTTCCCGCCCTTTGACGACGAGGAGCCGCCATTGGACTACGCAGACAACGTGCTGGATGTAGAGCCCCTGGAGGCCATACAAATCGAGCTGGACAGCGATGAAGATAATGCTGTATACAAATGGTTCTACGATCATAGACCATTAGTCGATACACCGTAAGCAGAACAGCTATAAAAACAAACAAAACAAATTCCAATGAAATAAACTCAATTCTTGCTTATAGCTTTGTAAATGGATCAACTTACCGCAAATGGAATCTGTCGTTGCCACAGCTGGCTACGCTTTATCGTCTGGCAAATCAGTTGCTCACCGACTTGGTTGACAATAATTTCTTTTATCTGTTCGATCCAAAGAGCTTCTTTACGGCCAAAGCACTCAACATGGCCATACCTGGAGGGCCCAAGTTTGAACCACTTATCAAAGATCATAATGTTGGGTAAGTAATTAAAACAAATATGTTTAGCTGTGAGTTAACCATTTGCTTTTCCTTGCAGTGACGAGGACTGGAATGAGTTCAATGACATTAATAAAGTTATTATTAGACAACCCATACGAACGGAGTATCGCATTGCATTTCCATATCTATACAACAATATGCCACACTTTGTGCATCTCAGCTGGTAAATTACTTAATTTCTATATATATTTATGTAATTATTTATAGTTACAAGGCCGTAGAGTTTCCAGTCTAAGACATTGGCTGGCAACGCTTCAAGCCATGTTAGATTAAAAAACCACGCCCAATTTACTACCAATTTAGCGATTGTCTTCGAATGGGCGGTGCAATGTAAATGTTCGTTATGATTTTGTAGACTAAATTTTAACTGCTGATAGTTGCATACAAACATAAACACGATTTATATATAGTATTTATATATATAACATTTATAATATCTTTATTCATATTTTCAGGTATCACACTCCAAACGTTGTCTACATTAAGACCGAGGATCCTGATTTGCCTGCGTTTTACTTTGATCCTTTAATCAATCCCATTTCGCATCGTAATGCTAACTCCAAGATCCAGGAGCCCATGCCAGACGATGATGAGGACTTTACATTGCCCGATGATGTGCAGCCCTTTCTGCAGGACACGCCCCTCTATACAGACAACACGGCAAATGGCATTGCGCTGTTGTGGGCCCCGCGTCCCTTCAATATGCGCTCGGGTCGCTCACGTCGTGCAATTGATGTGCCGCTGGTCAAGTGCTGGTACAAGGAACATTGTCCACCTGGTCATCCGGTCAAGGTGCGCGTCAGCTATCAGAAGCTGCTCAAATACTATGTGCTTAACGCATTGAAGCATCGCAAGCCGAAGCCGCAAAAGAAGCGGTAAGTTAACTAAATCAGAATTAAAAATTGTTTTATAAATAGATTTTTATTTCTTCCATTTGCAGTTATTTGTTCCGTTCATTCAAGGCCACCAAGTTCTTCCAAACCACCACCTTGGATTGGGTTGAGGCTGGCTTGCAGGTGTGTCGCCAGGGCTATAATATGCTCAATCTGCTTATCCATCGCAAGAATCTGAACTACCTGCATTTGGACTACAACTTTAACTTGAAGCCGGTTAAGACCTTGACCACTAAGGAGCGTAAAAAGTCGCGTTTCGGCAATGGTAATTGATGATAATCAGATATCTTTCCTGCCTTATATTAATTTAATTTTCCTTCAGCTTTCCATTTGTGCCGTGAGATTTTGCGTCTGACTAAACTGATCATTGACTCGCATGTACAGTATCGCCTCAATAACGTAGACGCCTTTCAGCTAGCTGACGGTCTGCAGTATATCTTTGCCCATGTGGGCCAGCTGACCGGCATGTATCGCTACAAATACAAACTGATGCGGCAGATACGCATGTGCAAGGACTTGAAGCATTTAATCTACTATCGCTTCAATACGGGACCCGTAGGCAAGGGTCCTGGCTGTGGCTTCTGGGCGCCTGGCTGGCGTGTTTGGCTGTTCTTTATGCGTGGCATCACTCCGCTGCTCGAACGCTGGCTGGGCAATCTGTTGTCCCGTCAATTCGAGGGTCGTCATTCGAAGGGCGTGGCCAAGACGGTGACCAAACAACGTGTTGAATCCCATTTCGACTTGGAGCTGCGTGCCTCAGTGATGCACGATATTGTGGACATGATGCCCGAGGGTATTAAGCAAAACAAGGCGCGTACTATACTCCAGCATCTGTCCGAGGCTTGGCGCTGCTGGAAGGCCAACATACCATGGAAGGTGCCCGGTCTGCCCATACCCATAGAGAACATGATATTGCGTTATGTGAAAATGAAAGCCGATTGGTGGACGAACACGGCGCACTACAATCGTGAGCGCATACGTCGTGGTGCCACTGTCGATAAGACTGTCTGCAAAAAGAATTTGGGACGATTGACGCGTTTGTATTTGAAGGCGGAGCAGGAACGGCAGCATAATTACCTCAAGGATGGTCCTTATATATCGCCCGAAGAGGCGGTGGCCATATATACCACAACGGTGCATTGGCTGGAATCGCGTCGCTTTGCGCCCATTCCCTTTCCTCCGTTGTCCTATAAGCACGACACTAAGCTGCTGATTTTGGCCTTGGAGCGTCTGAAGGAAGCGTACAGCGTAAAGTCGCGCTTGAATCAAAGCCAGCGCGAGGAGCTGGGTCTGATTGAGCAAGCCTACGATAACCCGCACGAAGCGTTGTCCCGTATCAAACGTCATCTGTTGACACAACGCGCCTTCAAGGAGGTGCGATCCATTTATAGTGCTTGATTGTGTTTAGTTGTTTATTAGTCCATTTCTCTTTGCAGGTGGGCATCGAGTTCATGGACCTGTATAGCCACTTAATACCTGTTTACGAAGTGGAGCCTTTGGAGAAGATCACCGACGCCTATTTGGATCAGTATCTGTGGTATGAGGCAGACAAGCGTAGACTATTCCCGCCATGGATCAAGCCCAGCGACACGGAGCCTCCACCTCTATTGGCCTACAAATGGTGTCAAGGTAGAGCAGAGCCTTTCATTTTGGATAAAGACTATTCGGAGTGTTATATCTATCATGTGTATTTGCGCATTTTGGTCGTGTGATTTGTGGCAAAGTGATGAGCTATGATTCCATCCCCTTGTTGCAAACCTCACGCTGAAGGTGACGCATAGCAGCAACAATTGAAAGATATTCGATTAAACTTAATAAGATCTACAAATCTAGAAGTCAAGCTCTAATGCTACCTTTCTCCGCAGGCATCAACAATTTGCAGGATGTCTGGGACGTCGGCGAGGGCGAATGCAACGTGCTGCTCGAATCACGCTTTGAGAAGCTTTACGAGAAGATTGATTTGACTTTGCTCAATCGTCTGCTGCGTCTCATTGTGGATCACAATATAGCCGATTATATGACAGCCAAGAACAACGTCGTTATAAACTACAAGGACATGAATCATACGAACAGCTATGGCATTATACGCGGCTTACAATTCTCTTCGTTCATCACACAGTACTATGGACTTGTTTTGGATCTGTTGGTGCTGGGTCTGCATCGCTCCAGCGAAATGGCCGGACCACCTCAAATGCCCAACGATTTCCTAACATTCCAGGATGCAGTCACAGAAACAGCGCATCCCATCCGACTTTACTGTCGCTACGTGGATCGCATACATTTGTTCTTCAGATTTTCGGCTGAGGAAGCGCGTGACCTTATTCAGCGTTATCTGACCGAACATCCAGATCCAAATAATGAGAATATCGTGGGCTATAATAACAAAAAATGCTGGCCACGCGATGCGAGAATGCGTTTGATGAAGCACGATGTTAATCTGTAGGTTTAGCTTAGCAATCCTTGGCAGTATTGTTTGCTAATGTTTGCTTTTTTCTGTCTAGGGGTCGCGCTGTGTTTTGGGACATCAAGAACCGTTTGCCTCGCTCTGTAACTACCATTGGCTGGGAGAGCACTTTCGTCTCGGTCTATTCCAAGGATAATCCCAATCTGCTATTCAACATGAGCGGCTTCGAGTGTCGCATTCTGCCAAAGGTTCCTTTTCCTACCCAATTCCCTTTAAGTTCAGTTAATAATTTGTTTTATTTCTCATGTTTACTGTTTAGTGTCGCACGCAAAACGAGGAGTTTACGCATCGTGATGGCGTTTGGAATTTGCAGAATGAGATAACAAAGGAGCGCACGGCTCAGTGTTTCCTGCGCGTCGATGATGAGTCGCTGGGACGTTTCCATAATCGTGTGCGACAAATTTTAATGGCCTCCGGCTCCACCACATTCACAAAGGTGAGTTCAATTAGAGCTGATTAAAGCAAATGTTTAATTTCAATTCAACCTTGGCAGATTGTCAACAAATGGAACACGGCTTTAATTGGTCTGATGACCTATTTCCGCGAGGCGGTTGTGAATACGCAGGAGCTGCTCGATTTGCTGGTTAAGTGTGAAAATAAGATACAAACGCGTATTAAGATTGGCTTGAATTCCAAAATGCCTTCGCGTTTCCCGCCCGTGGTGTTCTATACACCAAAAGAGTTAGGCGGCTTGGGCATGTTGAGCATGGGTCACGTGCTGATACCGCAATCAGATCTGCGTTGGTCCAAGCAGACCGACGTGGGCATTACGCATTTCCGCTCCGGTAAGTGAGGCAATATAACTTATCCATTTCTTCGCTAACTGGCAAATTCTTGACAGGCATGTCGCATGACGAGGATCAGCTTATACCAAATCTGTATCGTTATATACAGCCGTGGGAGAGTGAATTCATTGACTCGCAGCGTGTTTGGGCAGAGTATGCGCTGAAGAGACAGGAAGCAAATGCACAGAATCGTCGCCTGACGCTGGAGGATCTGGAAGATAGCTGGGATCGTGGTATACCGCGTATCAATACGCTCTTCCAGAAGGATCGTCACACGCTGGCTTACGACAAGGGCTGGCGCATTCGCACTGAGTTCAAACAGTATCAGGTGCTCAAGCAGAATCCCTTCTGGTGGACGCATCAGCGACACGATGGCAAATTGTGGAATCTGAACAACTATCGCACAGACATGATCCAAGCGCTGGGCGGTGTGGAAGGCATCCTGGAGCATACGCTATTCAAGGGCACCTACTTCCCAACGTGGGAGGGTCTGTTCTGGGAGAAGGCATCCGGCTTTGAGGAGTCCATGAAGTACAAGAAGCTGACAAATGCTCAGCGCTCTGGTCTTAATCAGATACCCAATCGCCGCTTCACGCTCTGGTGGTCACCGACTATCAATCGTGCCAACGTTTACGTCGGTTTCCAGGTGCAGCTGGATCTGACGGGCATTTTCATGCACGGCAAAATTCCCACACTGAAAATCTCGCTGATTCAAATCTTCCGTGCTCACTTGTGGCAAAAGATACATGAATCGATTGTCATGGATTTGTGTCAGGTGTTCGATCAGGAGCTGGACGCCCTTGAGATTGAGACGGTGCAAAAGGAGACGATACATCCGCGTAAATCATATAAAATGAATTCCTCATGTGCCGATATACTGCTGTTCCCTGCCTACAAATGGAACGTGTCCCGACCATCGCTGCTAGCAGACACCAAGGACACCATGGACAATACAACGACACAGAAATATTGGCTGGATATACAGCTGCGTTGGGGTGATTACGATTCGCACGACGTGGAGCGTTATGCAAGGGCAAAGTTCCTGGACTACACCACGGATAACATGTCCATTTATCCGTCGCCGACGGGCGTGCTCATTGCCATCGATTTGGCTTACAATTTGCATTCGGCCTACGGCAATTGGTTCCCCGGCTGCAAGACTCTGATCCAACAGGCCATGGCCAAGATCATGAAGGCCAATCCGGCGCTTTATGTGCTGCGCGAGCGTATACGCAAGGCCTTGCAAC